AATTTTTTAAAACATCTTTGCAAAAGTTCTTTTTTTTTTTTTTGCCACATCAGGTTATCAAAATCCATTCTGGCATTTTTTTTTTAAGAGGGAATGCTTCAGTGCATTTAAAAGGAAGTCAGAAGTTTTGAGTAACTCAAAGCAGTTTTAGAGCAGATGCAAACTTTAATGGAGAGGAAGAGGAGGAAGATCAAAGGTTGCACGTTTTTGCTTTCAACTCAAAAAAGTGATGAGGCAATAAAACAAAAGGATGAATGCCATGCCATAATAGTCTCCAAAAGTCCATTTCCAAGCAAAAGAAAAAAAAATAATTATACCTTACATGACCAGCATGCAGGGTTTTCTTATTAATATAATGTCTCTTTTTTCATAGTCTTTCGAAACAGTTATAGTTCATTGTTGCTAAGACAAAATAGCAAGCATAATGCATGAGATGAGGATGAGATTCTAATGGCAGACTAAAGTCTCACGTTTGGCAGATTAAGGCCAAAACTCACATGAACACACCGAAGGTTGATGCAGGCTTGATTTTGGCAGGTTGATCTAGGCATACGTCTAGTTCTGCACAACAACGCTAAAAACTGATGGAACTCAGCAAGCTGGAGTCTAAAAATGACACACTGTTTTTTGTCTTGTTTTTTCTTTTATAATTTTTTTTGGTTTTTTTCTTGGTCTTTTTTTTTTAGTTGGTCTTTTTTTTTTTTTTTTTTTTTGCAAAGCTCAAATCTCACCTGAAGAACTCAGGATGGCAAAAAAAAAAAAGATAACTGACTTTTGTTTCAGACACAGCAAACTCAAAAGGGAAAAAACCCAACTAACTCATGAACTTAAAAAAAAAAAAAAGGATGTGGATGGCAGGTTTCAAGGAAGAGCAAGCTTCATATGAAGAACTGAGTTGGATCTTTCCATTAAAAAAAAAAACCAAAACAACAACAACACACACATAGGAAGCCCCCACAAAAATATATATAAAATAATAATACTAGAAAAGAAACTCATGTAGAACTTGCAGGTTGGCCAACCAGGAGCCAGCCCACCTTAAAAAAAAAATAACAACTTTGCTCTTTTTTTTTTCTTTTGCTGTCAATTTTTGAGTTAAAAAAAAAAAAACACAAGGTGGGCCAGCTGGTTCATCTAGCCCCCAGGTACAACTCACAGGGAGAACTTTTTTTGTTTTTTTGTTTTTTTTTTTTTAGTTAAGGTGGCAAGGCTGTTGGGACTCACATGAAAAACTCTGGAGAGGAAGGGTTGTCGCTGCTGGATCCGTTTTCTCTGAAGCCATTGCTGACCAGCTTCTCGTATTTTTCCTTGTAGGCGTCCCTCTCCCGGACCAGCCTGGAGATCTCTTGCTTGAGGTGCTCGACTTGCTGCAGCAGCTGGTTCTTCTCGGACTCCAGGACGTGCCTCTGCTGGACCCTCTTGAAGCGACAGGACTGGGCATAGCCCCTGTTTTTGAGGGTCCTCCTCTTCTGTTTCAGCCGGATGACCTCTTCCTTGCTCACCCCCCGGAGCTGCCTGTTCAGCTCCCGCACGGACATGGTCACCAGCTGCTCATCCGAGAAGCGGTCGTCGAAATGCAGGCTGCTGCTGTGGTGCTGGTGGTGCAGACCCCCGCCGCCGCCGCCGCCGCCGCCGCCCCCGGTGCTGCTGCTGCTGCTGCTGCTGCTACTGCTGCTGCTGCTGCTGCTGGACTGCCCGCTGCCCGGCGGCGGGTGGTGGTGGTGCCCGCCCGGGTGGTGGTGGTGGTGGTAGTGGGGGGCCCCGTTCTGCGCCGCGGCCGCCGCGATCACCGCGGACACCACGGCGGCGGCGGAGCCGATCTCTTCGCCGGGCATGGAGCCCCCGGAGCCGGCGGCCAGCTGCTGCCCTCTAGCATAGCCATCGAAGCTGCTCTGGAGCGGGTGGTGGGTGCTGTTGATCAGCGCTTCCACCGCGTCCTCGGGGCTGAATCCCAACGCCTCTGGGTTGAGCTGCTGCGGGTAGCCGGTCATCCAGTAATAATCTTCCAGGTGGGTCTTCTGGTCCGTGCCAGAGCCCGGGCTGGGCGCCGAGAAGCTCGGGGAAGGGGGCACCGAGCTGCAGGGCGTGCTCATCGGGGTGGAAGAGAGGGATCCCCCAGCGATCAAGCGGCCGCACTGGCTGATAATGCGATCGGTCTCCACCGGCTCCTTTTTCACTTCAAACTTCATCAGATCGAAGTCATTAACATATTCCATGGCCAGGGGACTGGTGGGCAGGTCGGAGTTGCTCATTGCCAGTTCTGATGCCATCCTTTTGCTGCTGACAGTCCTCCAGAAAGGGTGCACGCCAGGAGCGAGGGGGCTGCTCGGAGTTGCCGCCGGGTGAGCCAGCTTGATGATTTGCGAGGGCTATTTTTCCTCCTCTCTCTCTCTCTCGCTCGCGCCTCTCTCCACCAGCCCCTTGCAAAGCCGCGCTCCAAATTGCACCGCCGCTTCTCGCTCCCGCTTCTCCTTCGCAGAGTCTCGGAGACTGATGATGCATCAGCCCCGAGCGCCTCTTTCTAGTCGCCTTTTTGCAGCAAGGTTGGAGTCTCTCGCAGCTGTTGCTGCAAAGAAGGTTGTTGCTGTTGGTTGCTTGCTTTTGTTTGTTTTGTTTTTTTTTTTGCTCGGTGGTGGTTGGTTTTGGGGGGGTGGGGGTTGGTATTAGTCTGAATTTTTTTTTTTTTTGGTTATTTTTTAACACTTCATCCTTTTCCTCGGGTCTTTTTTCATCCCAAGTGCAAAGCCAGGAGAGGTTTCATCGGGGGAGGGGGGGGAGAAAAAAAAAAAAA